AACATTTGCACACTGAGTAGGACAATCTACCTGCTGAACAGTAATGTTGCTTGGCAGCACAACAGCAGTACAGTAATACCACTGGACAGAAAACCACTTTGCAGTACAGTAGCAAGTGTTCAATACCTGAGTACTTCTTAAATGAGATGCGCTCAATGCTCTTTACCGAGGCTGCCACTTAATACGCCGTGAGAATGACTTATCACAAGCATGGTGTTTCAGAGACCTACTTATAAACATATGCAATGTCAAGTCTTTTGCTTCCACATACATAAAGGATATAGAGGGACCTCACAGGTCCTCCCAGCACTTGGCCATTAATCTTGCCCATGTCAGAAACGCAGAGTTATTGTAGGACTGCGCTCTATGGAGATGAGCCCTGACTCTGTAAGAAGCTGTCATCTGCTGTAGTACCGTGCTCTACAGAATATAATCCTGCCTGTTGTAGGGCCATGCCATGTGGAGATTAACCTAGAGGGAGTCGCAGTCTCCTGCCTGTTACAAGACTGTGCTCTCTGGAGATTAAGCCAGAGGTAGTCATAGTCTCCTGCCTGTTGTAGGGCTGTGCTCTGTGGAGATTAACCCAGAGGGAGTCACGATATCCTGCCTGTTGTAGGGCTGTACTCTGTGGAGATTAACCCAGAGGCAGTCACAGTTGTTGGGCTGTGCTCAGTGAACAGTATCACTGTTTGTCTTTTGCTTGCAGCCAGGGAGTCCCTTAAGGAGATTTCTGCTGTGCTGTGATTTATTATTGAAAAAAAGGTACTTATTACCAAAGGTTAATGAAAAAAGGTCCCACCAGAGAAACTGAGTGGGGTGATTATTGGAGTTTTCACTAAAGATTTGGGAGGCAGATTCTTAATACCATCCCCTTGCTCCAGTCAGGCATCATAAGCATAAACATCACTCATAATGCCTAGTGGGCCTGTTCTGTGGTTTCCGGTATTACACCTCTACCCCATCCTCACCTTCATTTCCTGCCTTGGGGGGGGGGGGGGGGGTCAGATAACAGTGTAATTTTGCCAAGAATGTTTTTTTTTCCCTCTTCCCATGGGACTGCAAATCAAGGATAACCAAGTATTTACAGTAAGGTGACCCTCTTGAAGAAGCCGTTCTATACACTCATGTTTGCCATAACTACTGACAATACAATTGTTCGTTGATTAGCTGCAAATTAGCAAAGCAACTTTGACTAGCAAATGCAAGTAGGCAGATGTGTGCTTCGTGTCTGTGGCTTTGACCACTCATGTATAGGTGACATAACTCCAGTTACCGTGACTGTAAATAATGCTAATTATAATCCTCAATACCTGTGACCTGCACTCGACCCCCGAAAGGACACTCTCAGCCTGGAATTACTGTCTGCCCCCAAAGACTGTGTGGGGCTTTAGACGAGTCACAGCAGGCAGTGTTTTGTTTTTTTAATTTTTTTTTTGGTTTGTGATGGCATTCAATGTCATTTCTGCTGTGTTTTTTTAACACACTGAGTAATTAAGGTTGAGTCATAGTTTCAATCAGCAAAATCTGTAAGTATCGTTGTCTTTCCTTTTTTTGCTTTTCAGAGTAGTATAAGCCAGGAAAATGTGATTGTTAAAACGAGCAGTTAACTGCCAAAATAACAGGGATTTGGCTACGGTGGGGACCCGCAGGCCATCGGACAGCTTCAGGACCTCCCCTCATTTGATGTATATTCAATGGTGTTGGTAAACAGCCGTCTCAGGTGTTGCCCCAGAATGGTCTCTGATGACTGGGTTAGCTGTGGCATCTGGCTTGCTTTCTAACTCCAGCACTGGTTCCCTGTGGATGAGCCAGCTGTCACCCGTTCACAGACTCCTGTTCCTTCAGGAGGAACGTGACCACTCACACTGGCTTTGCATTCCGTGGCATTTATCTTGCTCTCCATGGGGTTGAGTGGACTTAAACATGCCAGGGAAATGCAGTCCGTGCCACAACAGAGCCACCAGAACCCTTGACTGTGCAAAACTAGCATTTCAGCCTGTGGGCTTGTTTTGGCTTTAATCACAGACGTACTCATCTGCTCGTTGAAAGCAGAGTGCAGGATGACTCATCTGACAATGACTTTTTTCTCCACTGCTCAGCACTATCCAGACAGAAGTACGTTTAAAAGTGTAATAGTGTGAGTCCTGATCATAGCATCTTCCATCGTAAAATTCTCGGTGGTCTATGTTTGCAGGCAGTGACTGCATGCTCACAGCAGAGATTGATATTTGCAGCAGATTAATTCAGAGCTGCCGGTCCACTTCACCTTGTGTCTTAGACCAGTGGACGTTGAAGGAAGGAACGCACATTTCCTCTGAGACTTACCCAAAGCTGACAATGGCTTTCCCTCAGGGTTCAATCTGCCCAAAAAACACAAAGTCGATGAGATGAGAAAAGAGGAGTGCTATAAGAGGAACATTAACCCTGCTGTTTGAATGCAGTAGTTTGTTCAACTAAACTGACTTTATTTTCTTATTTTCATTCTCCTGTGATCTGGAGAAGTGGTTGAAAGATGAATGGATGGATGGATGGATGGTTTATGTCTCTGACTTCAGTAACTGATTCAGATGAGTACTGTATCTTGTATATTACATGTGAAATGTAAAAACTAAATCCTAAACTGTGTCTGTATTCCTATCTCACCAGAGGAATGTGGTTGCATTCTGATCCTCTCCGGTTAACACCCATCCTGTATGCCATACAGTTTACAGATTTGCTGAATATTATTTATTATAGGAATATTATGAACTAAACTTTCATAAATCGCCTCTACCTGTATGTGGTCTTTAAGTGGTGTGACTTACCTTGTGCGCTATGGAGTGCCTGTAAAGAAACGAGTGTAACTGGAGTTAAAAGTAAGAATTAACAATTTGTTGTTATCAATATTGTGACAGAGAAATTAAAATTGAACTTATCAGTGCTACTTAACAGCAGAAAAATGTAAACACAACGCTAAACAGTGTATATAAATAATTTGCAGTTGCAATTGTAAAACAGGGAAAAAACTGTTAAACTCTGAAGAATAGGCACAGGAATTCTTGAGTGTATATTCAGTTTCCATTCTGTGTTTTTGTTGTCATGACACTGTTGAATTTGACATGCAGGAAGGTCCCTTACTCAGCCATTCCCTGTCAAATGAACGTCGGCGAACATCTAGCCATTCAGAGGCGCATCAACACACATTTTTTGTTAAAATCCCATTTTTATTCATCAATGTCAGTGTCAAGACTTTTTTTTCCAGTACAAAAATAAAGATGCATGTAAAACTCACTGGACCCAATTAATTGAATTGTAACTATTGAACAGAATACATGGGATAAGTCATGATTTTGCAATTAGAACTATCTGCAGTCACAGTTACTAATTACTATTAATCATAATTAATTGCAAATTTGATAGTTGCTGCTGTGGCTCACCCATGTCTGATTTGTATAGCAGTGTTTATGATTTATCTGTAAAATATTAGGCTTGAAAAGTTTCTTTAGAAAATGCAAGGAAATTAGTCATTTGGCTCAGAAGAAACAGCTCTGCTGGAGTAGATATGGTGCCGCTGGAGACCAGATGGACGAAGATTTAGAATTTACAGAGTCCATGATGCTTCCATTATATGTGTGAGATGAATTACACGACATGGGTTTTTTAAGCTTATTGGTCATTATTAATATTCTTCTCATTTGCAGGTATGCAATCAAAATCAATTTTTTTATACATGGTAGAAAATATAAATGTATCTTGCCATAAATCCAAGCTATAACTACATAATAATGTAATAGGTTCATGTGGTCTAATATAATATTTAGTTTTTACAGCTAGGTAGTGTAATTTCTCTTTATTTTTCATTTGCTTCACACTCCAGTTTAGCTTGAATTTTAGTGTATTAATCCTTGGATTGTATGGCTGGGTTACAAGTGACACCAATTAAACTGTTTTCCTTTAAAGTCCACACACTGTTATACTTTTGAACATCTAGAGACACACATAGATTGTTAGATCTCACGATACCCATTCATTTTTCTTCAATCTATCATCTGAGTGCTTTTTCTGGTTTGAGGTACAGGATCTTGCAATTTATATTCTGAAAAAAATCCGCATTTCCTGGTATAACATAAGACTTTTCAGCTAATATCTTTGGGCACGTGAAACAGCCAACATAGAAGGACCTGCTTTTCGCGTCTGTTGCTCCCATGTTTGGCCGTGATAATGCAAACAGACCAACACGCTCAGTAACTTCAATCCGTATTGTCCAAACAGATTATGGTAATTAGCGTAATTAAAGTGTCATAGCCCAACCCTGCTCTTAAGGACCGTGAGCTCGCCAGTAATTTAAGCCCGTTAGTTGGGTATTGTTGTGCTGCATATTCTAGGCAGGAAATGACCTGCTCGGCGATCTCAGGCAGATTAAACATCAGGAGCCCTCTCTGGGGTAGGCTTGACTGCTCACGGGTCAAAGATTTCATTTTGCTTTATCCGCACAGTTTTTATTTTTTTCTGGGCCTTTTTTTAAGACTAGCATTAATTTAGCTCAGACTAGATCAAGCTGCAGTGTGTGTGTGTGTGTGTGGGGGGGGGGGTATTCACACACAAAATACTGACTCAATCGACTTGACAGAATGACAGATTGGTACACATACAGCATTATTATTTTTGGCTAAATTGCTTATCCCGAGACATCCTTCAGAAGTGACTGAATGCCTTTTAAAACCGTGCATTATTATTTGCATAATTGAGTCGCTTAGCAGATGTCTCCTTACCCAAAGTGCTGCTTGTTCCACAGTATCCGTTCACCTGAACCTAGCGGTTCGGGTTCAGCCCTTCAGCATCGACGCTCCGTCTGTTTCAGCCGCCCATATGAGCCTTCTGTGTCTGCTTTGACCATTCTGTTATCTGCTGACCGTAAACAAACTGCAAAATTAGCTGCACGTAGCCCAGTGTATAATAACGTTATAACACGCTGACCTGAAGAGCCACATCTCAGGACTCTCTCATGTTTTCGGCTGCAGGCTACGATGACCGTGACACAGACCTTTTCCTGTGCGACACGAACACCTGCAAGTTCGACGGGGAGTGTCTGAGAATCGGAGACACGGTGACCTGCATCTGTGATTTTAAGGTAAGGTCCTTCAGAAGGGGTTCTTCCAGTGCACCCCCATTTTGATTGGTCAGTAGAAACACAGATAGCATATCCACAGCCATGATATGGGTTCTCTTCATTACTGCTCATACCAGCATGTTATGAGTGGGAATATAGATACAGGACCATAGCTGTTTGCATACCATGTGAATCTTTTCATAGCTAATGTAGCTGTTGAAGCCGTAGCTTTAAGCATCCAATGTGAATATTCTTATCAGTGCTAATACCATTGGGAAGACTATAGCTGTTAGTATCCGGTGTGAGAATTTTTGTTATGCTTGACACTACTGAGGAGGCTATAGCTATTAGCGCCAAATATGAATATTCTTGTCATTGCTAATGCTGCGTCCTGGGCTAATATCCTTATCAATGCTAATACAGCTGGGAGGTCTGTAGCTGTTAGCATCCTACATTAATGTACTTCTGATGCTAATATAGCCAGGGAGGCTCAGAGCCTTATCGCGCCTCGTGAATTGTTTTTTTTTTTCTTGACGTCACGGCGGCTCAGCCTCTGGCCTGATAGAGCTTGTCTTTATGCCATTAAGTGCAGTAATTCATCAAGTATGATCCAGTTACGGCCTGGGACCAGTGCTGCACCCTGGCGTCTTTCCTGTGCATAATGTGCCCTGCCTGTGTGGAGAGGGAATGGGTTTGATCTATGAATGGATGCCATTCAGCTTGGGCGGCTCATGTAGCCACTGGGACGGTATTGATCGGACTTCCTGGGGGCCGCCTCTCGAGGGGGGTGCTGCCAGAACCTGGGGCAGCGGCGTGACCGCTTTTGTGTGATTGCTGCAAACGGGGGCCAGGGGTGTTGGGGCGTGTGTGTGTGTGTGTGTGGGGGGGGGGTGTGAGAGATGGCCACAGGAAACAGTGTGTGTGCACTGAGTGGTAGTACAGAAGGATGAGATCACTGGGGTACCACTGCGTACGGAGTAGCCAATGAGTAGAGAAGGGCGTTGCTCAGGGAACGCAGGGATTTTTGAAGTTTGATCTTGTAACGTGCTTTTTCTTACAAATAAGAAACAGCAGTCTATATGCCATGACGAGGCATCGATTAGCCTGCTTAATCTAGCACAGATGCATGGAGCTTATTTTTAGGGATCTTCTACAAGCTCCAAGCTTGACGGGGCCGACAGGGTCCGTGCTGGATGTCTGTCCACAGTATGGGCAGCCGGGCCGTCCAGCAGCAGCTGCTTTCGGCGGCACCGAGCAAAAGCTCTACGTGATAATTAGCTCGGAGCGAGCCTGCGTCAACGTGCTGTGCTGGGCGGGAGCGCAAAACAAACCTGGGGCCAGGTAGAGAGGAGAGGGAGGCGACCAAAGCGAGGCTCCATTTCAGAGGCTCCAGAAAGCCTATCAGGGGAGATCTGGTCGGACCAGCCTCGCCCTGCCTGGCTCGGCTCTGAGAAGTCAGCGTGCATCAATTCATAAAATTGACATTAAATACGCAAGACAACCCCCCTTAGAAAGGCGTGTGTAGAAGGCGTCCTAGTGATGGGGCCAGATATTTCTGACTGCCAAATATCCGCTTCAGTTTATGCCGAGTGATGGCCAGTGCATCTCTCTCTCTCTCTCTCTCTCTCTCTCTCTCCCTCTCTCTCCCTTTTCAATGGCTGTCCCTGTTCCTGTTGTTCCAAGTCATTTTGTACTGGGCCAGCGTCACTGGGACAGAGTCGTGAGGCACATAGGCAGGGCTGGATTGCTCAAAAATCGATTAATTTAGAGAATAACGAAATGCCTCCCAAAATGGCTGAGGGGCCCCTGTTTTAAGGCAGATGTTAATATGCCCTGTGTAGCATTAAAATGTTCACGTTACCTTTGGAAGCATTATCATGATTGTGATTCATTATAAATATTAATGAATAGAACAAATTATAATGAATTGCAGTCGAATTATATATCCATCCATCCATCCATCAAGGTCCGGTTAGCTTTTCCTGTATTGGGTCAACAATGGGCCTGAAGTCTGTACCATGGATGGGACGACAGTCCGTTGCAGGCCACATACAAGCACACATACACACACTAAGTACAATATTTAAAGCATAGTATAATTTGAATATTTTATATATAGTACAGTACATTTTTAAGGATAATATTTGACGGATGTATTATTTTGCAGTATCTATGTATCTTAGAGGATCATGCTTTGCCATGGTGACTGACTACAGTGGTAATGCTCATTACTAATGATTGATCTATATTTTATTTTTGTTAAACGGAAGCACCATAATGACCAGAATATGATTACGCAAATATATGTTGTAGAGTGTAGGTAATATTACACTCCAAAAAATGGTGGACTTAAATGAAAACAAACTTAACTACAAACTCACTCTGACATGCAGCTGAATTGTGATTACATTTACGATTCTTCCAGTTGCAAAATGAATCGCAGTTTTTCACTCAACCATCATTTTGTAATTCCTCTGTCACGTCTGGTACCTTAAGTGGCATCAAATCAGCCAGTAAGCTGAGAAGAGGTAGGTGAGGATTATGCCACGAGAATGGGGCCCTTTGGCCAAAGGACTGGAGTACAGGCCACCTGCCTCAGTCTGAGATCCAGGGGAGCCCATGGCATGGGCCAAGGTTTATCTTGGGGGGGGGGGGGGGGCAGGCACTGATGCTATCCTGCACCAGGGCTCGCTGGCAGGAGTAGCGTAGCAGTGGTATCCAATGGCCTCCATCAGCCAGATGCAGCTGGAAGAGATAGATGTTAGCTATGCTCTCTGTGACAAAGTGCTTGTTGAGGACGTTGGTTGTGACCTTCTGACAAGGTGGCGTGAGGGACAGGAGGAGTTCTGATGAGCTTAACTGGCTGCCCTCACTTACCGATGGTGCTTAATTTGGGAGGGAGATGTGAAAGAGGGGATTAATGAGCACACAGGTGCTACTGGGCACTGCTTAAGTTGATGATTCAGAGGAGAAGGTTTCGGGGTTCATTTTATTTAGGGAGCGTATTCACGTTTTTGAGTTCAGTCTCGGGACTCCAAAGAGTTTAAGCTGAATTTGATCCTTTGGAGTTCTTCCTTATCCCTGTGTAGCTTATGTAAATATTTTCCTGTTTTTGTGTGCTTTTTTTCTCTTGGTAAATATTTGAGCACTCTTTTAGACCAGGGATTTTTCTGAAGATTTTAAATACCTTTTAATAATAAAACACCACATTGATTGGTTTTACCCAGTCAATGTCATCTTAGTCCTCTGTGGCCCAATCTGTCACTGCTTTATTTAAATTAATCTGTCACAAAGTTTTCTTTTTTTCCCTCAATCAAATAAAATGAAGAAATTAAGGTCCCATTAAAGGTTGGAGAGATTGATTTTTTTTTTTAGTTTTTAATTTCTGGGGATCCATTATCATGTCAACACCTATTTACAAAAAGCATTTTTAGCATTTAATTTCTAAAATGTCTATTAACTATGCATATTCAAATGAAAACACAACTGTATTCAGATGATGTATTAAAAATCCATCCCTAATCCGGTCCTCGATTAAAAGAGATGTAGTTGTCATCACTGTTATAAGTAAACCCATTTATTCAGTGCCTTTAACCCTCTCATTAATGCTGAGTTATTTTAGGTCTCCAGAGTGCAGCTTTGGAGAGCATTGCTGACATCTCCGCCAGGAGCCTCCACAGCCGCTGTCCATAGCATGCGATGATCACTGTCATAACGAGCGTTTACGTCCACACATCCCTGACAGCGTTCGCATATAATTAACTTAAAGCAGGATTTATTTTTCTGTTGAAATATATTCAATGAGCCATTGGATTCAAGCACTTTGAAGTGTTTTACATCCATTATTCCCAACTTTAGAAAAGGGATAGTCTATCAGTTAGGGATGCATCAATACTATTTTTTTCCCGACTGAGTATGAGTACTTATGCTCACTTATTGGTACTCACCGAAACCAATACCACTATTTTACTTGTACAGTTGAGAAATTTACAAAATACAGCGAGACTCTTCCCTGGAAGAGAGTATTATTATTTATAGTAATAGTTAACTCCACTGTTAACATCATATGCATGGTTTGTAATTTAAATAATAATAAAGTCTTTCAAAAAACTCTATGTGAAAAACATTTCCATAGAAGAGATTTCAATACCATTTTATAAAATCAAAAATAAACCAAATGGCTCAAATTTCAGACAGAAATGTTCCAGTACTTTCAGAAGGTGCCTTAATCCGACATTATCAACGACTGATAATGGTTGATTGTCAAGAACAATATACTGAGTAAGAGCTTCTCTTACTTTCGCTGCACAAGGGTTATCATTTGACATTTTCTCTCTCTGTGCTACTGTTTGCTACATGGTGGGTTGTTGCATAGTTCTGCTGGTGGCAGCTTCGTCTTACTCTTTCTTATGCTTCATTTCTAGATGTTTAATTAGATTACTTGGGTTGTATGAACTTATTTTCGTACCTCTTCTTGACATTTCAAGGCACAGTTTGCAGTCCTCTATGCTTTGATTTTTGTCATTAATTTTGAAATACTTCCATACTACAGACATTTTGTGGTCCCATTTATTTTGTGTCAGGGTTGTTGGCTGTCTGACCCTGTCCAATGTGTCTTGCCCCATTTTGCCCAGCAGGTGTCGCTGGTCATCCTGCTTCCCCCTGTCTGTCTTGTAGCCCTTCAGCCCTTAGTGTGTTCCTCTCCTCCCCTGGCTGACACATAGCTCAATGGGTCGATCAGTTGAGAGGCTAAACTCCTCCAGTGGTGAGTTCACGGCTGGCAAGAGGCCAGGCTCACCAGTAATTTAATACTTATTGGTTTACTGTTTTCCTTTGCACCTGTTATTGTCTTTGCTTTGTGTCCTTGTTTTTTGTTTATCTCGCTCATGCCTTGTTTAATTTTGTTCTGCTTATTCTTCTGTTTTTTCCTAGTGTTATTAACCCTTAGTGTTTTTGTTGTTTTCCTAGTTTTTGTGTTTGTTAATTGTAATTTATTCCACCTATTTTTTATTGTCCCATTC